CCCTAAACCCTAAACCCTAAACCCTAAACCCTAAACCCTAAACCCTAAACCCTAAACCCTAAACCCTAAACCCTAAACCCTAAACCCTAAACCCTAAACCCTAAACCCTAAACCCTAAACCCTAAACCCTAAACCCTAAACCCTAAACCCTAAACCCTAAACCCTAAACCCTAAACCCTAAACCCTAAACCCTAAACCCTAAACCCTAAACCCTAAACCCTAAACCCTAAACCCTAAACCCTAAACCCTAAACCCTAAACCCTAAACCCTAAACCCTAAACCCTAAACCCTAAACCCTAAACCCTAAACCCTAAACCCTAAACCCTAAACCCTAAACCCTAAACCCTAAATCATGAATTCTAAACCCTAAACCCTAAACTATAAACCATAAATTCTAAACCATAAACCTAATATTAATCTACCACAACCGAAGCCGACTCCTTTTTTAAACATTTAGATTACAAGCATTGTCAGGACCGTCGGTAAGCATGGCGGGTTCGGCTTGATCGGCTGTCCCGGTATCGCCTTGATTTGAACTCATGATCCGTTCGTTCGTGATGCTCTGAATTGCACCTGAGCAAAGGCAGTTGAAAAAAACGTTGCCCTTTTTTCAATACTACAACAAGCACCGCAACTGGACTGCAACTTGACCTTGCATTTGCCTTATGGTATCCGCCATTGCTCCCCTTCTCGTCCGCTAGTCACACATTGCAACCGCATCGACTTGTCCCAAGAGTCATATTGTAGGCTCGCTATCCCATCTGTCACATCGTCGCCCTGTGTCTCTTATCCTGTAACGGGGATAGAACAACCCGTACTTAGCTTACACTATTCTACGCTTTGAGGAAGTCTCAAAGCCCAAGTCGCATGTATTGAGTACTTTTGACTCTGTTTTGTATCTTGTCTTTTAATCATCCTAAGTATGAATGGTTCCCTTGGACTCATGGGAACCACTCAATCTACGTGCCTGTATCTTACTGGCTAATAATGGTACTGAGCCCATTGAACCAGCTGAATTATATGACGTGCCACTTTGGCTACTTCGAAATTAATACCCCTACTTAACTAACATGTAAACTTAATCGAAACTACTTATGTAACGGGGTGGCCCATTACATCACCCCCTTCTCAAGACAGCACTCACGAACCGTGACTGCTCAACCACAAAACCCAACGGACGCACAAGCCAAACGATGATTGAAGACGCAAAACGCCAACACCACAGCACTCCTGCGCACTGTCAGCGGGAATTCGATCGACCACGTGACGGATCAGCACCTGATCCCTTGCGCGCTGTACGACTTGTCCGGAGTTCGAGCTCCGGACTCTCTTGGGACGATGCAGGATTACTACCGGCGTTACCGTGTGTTGCTTGGGAATAGTCTTACAGGAATCTCCTACGAGTCAATCCAGCGGTCTTGGTGTGCATTCATCTGGCGGTGGAACCGGATGCTCGAAGACGGAAGAAACTTTCAGCAGTGACTTACCAACCGCGAAGATATCCACGCCGAACACGCAATTGGTGTGCTGCGCGAGAAGATACGCGAGAACGCGTGGAACGTAGATCGACTCTGCTACGTTCACGTGCACGAATCTTAATACTCTTGTGACTCGATGCCTCGTACAACTCGCGAAAGTTGGCAACGGTACGTCGCTGAGTATCCACTCAAAGAATATGAACAGCTCTGGATCGGACGGTATGAGCGCAGCTTGACGGAGCGCAAGACCGCGGTCAACTGTGGCGCGTCACGCTGGCGACACCACTTGCGTTCTCGAGGTCGTGGTGTCACGCGCTCGCCACGACGTTCTCGTCCGCGTGGTCGTGGTGCCACGCGCTCGACACGACGTTCTTGTTCGCGTGGTCGTGGTGATACACGTTCAACACGACAACCTCGTCGTCGTTCTTCATCTCGTCGTCGCGGTGACGATTCACCAAGACATTCTCGCAATCGCTCTTGGTCTCGTAGTCGTAGTGACGCTTCACCACGACACAGTCGTCTTTCGTCTCGATCTCGCTCACCGCGAGAACACTCAGGTCGTCGACCAGTTCTAAACCAAGCGTATGCACGGACTCTTAAGCCCGAACGACGTCTGGAACGTCTTGAAGTAGCGAAGAGCGCGGCTCCCACGTATCCTGCTCGGGTGGAAATCCGAGCCAACGTACACGATACTTGCGCGCGGGTGGAACCGCGTGCTCATGGAGTCGCGACGATTTTGTTTGGCGACGAAGGTCCTCGCGACCCAATAAGCGTTCCACGATACAGCGCTTCAGACCTTCCGCGTCCACAAGCGGTGGTGGGCCCTCGCAATGGTACTGCTGGCGTCCTGGTTGCCCAGGAAGATGTAGATGCGGCTCTGAACAAGGCTGTCAATGCCCAGCTGAAGGCTGAAGCTGCACTAGATCGAGCTGCGCGGGCTGAGAGAACCGCGAGCGAGATATGAACTCGAACCGCGAGCTGCTTGAACGGATGTGGAACCTGGAATGCCAGGTTCTTAGGCACGCGCGGACTGGGACGCAGCCGCGTCCGATGTCACCGGCGCGTCGAGCAAGGCGAGAGTGAAGGTCCACCTATAAGCCTTTGACTCCGAGGGCGGAGCCAACCCGTGAAGCATAGCTGGACGATACTCCTTGAGCCGCCCGACGTTAAACGTCGGGTGAAGTCGCTGTGACGAAGGGAGGTCCAGCTTGTATGCGTCGCCGATCGCCTTGAGTACCGTGAACGGTCCGATGAAACGTGGCGCGAGTTTGCTCGCATTGAGATTGGTTACTGCTGAATCCTGTAGGATTACAGTAGACAACAATACACACTTACCCTTCTTGTGTTCTTTCTGCCACGTTTGTCTGCATTTGCTTTCTGTTTATCCACTGCAGATCGAAGAGCATCGCGTACAAACCTCGTGATGGCTTGACGTTGGAGTATAAACTCTGACACAGCCATGTCATCAATTGGTCGCGCCGATTCAATCGGCGCGTGGTTAGCTTTAGGGTTTCGCATGCGCGAAGAAGGATCGATCAGCGTCTGTGCAGTCCATTGAGCGAGCGGGGACGCCACGTCACGTGGCGTCGAAACAGAAGACTTCGCCTTAGAATAGTTGACAACATTCGCGCTCAGGATACCGTGAGCTTCACTCGATCGTTGTTTATCGTTATCACCCCCCGATAGAGTGGAGCCACGAAGAGCCGTGGGCTGACCCACGGCAAGAAGAGTAGGTACACGAGGATGACGGGCCGAATCTGCAAACAATGGTGTCAACCCCGTTGACGCGTGAACCGCGTTGTTTAGTGCAAACTCCGCGAGTGGCAAAAATTCACTCCAACTCGTAAAGGAAATTGCGTAACTTCAAAGAGCATCTTCGAGGACCCGATTAATCCTCTCTTTTTGCCCACCCGTTTCCGGATGGGCTGCTGTCGACATTTGTAGCTTTTTGCCAAGGAACTCGAGCGATAACGTCCAAAAAGCAGACGTGAAACGAGGATCACAGTCCGAGACAATGTTGTTTGGTAGACCGTGATGGCGAAAAACAGTGTCAATGAAGTGCACCGCGGTCTCAACCGCGGTGAAAGTTGCATGAACAGGCACCAGATGTGTCATTTTGCTGAATCTGTCCACAAAGACCAGAATACCCGCTCGGACTTGGCCATCTGGTGCAAGCCCGAAGATAAAATCCATTGAGACTGAGCTCCAAGCCTCAGCTGCAATTGGCAGGGGTCGCAGGGGTGCCTGCGACGATGGAGATGGCTTCACGCGCTGACATATTTCGCAGGTGCGAACCCAGTTGCGAACCCATTTGTACACGTGGGGCCATAAGAAGTCTTGCGAGACAGCCGCGAATGTCTTTTCGCGGCCCAGATGACCGCCAATTGGGGCATCATGGTACTCGTGGATGATACGAGCACGCAAATCCAAGTCATTCGCAATCACCGTTCGAGGTGCATCGAATTTTTCGATGCTATATAACAGCAAATCACCGTCAATACTGTATCGTTGAATGCGATCACGCTTCGTTCGCGAAAGAGCTCCCAGTGCAGCCTCACTGGGAGCGCGCAGATAGGCGATAATGTCCGCGTAATCCGGGTCGTTCGCGTAAGCCGCGACAATCCATCGAAAAGGCATAACTCGGGTGTGACCCGAGTTAGATTCAACGACACAAACGTCGCACATCGATCGTCTTCATCGTCGTCGTCAGTGGCCTGACATTTCAGTGCCATACGAGGATCGTAATCTGGACGTCATGACAGTGCGTCAGCATAAATGTTAGACTTGCCTGGCTTGTAGTGCACGACGAAGTTGTACTCGGAGAAGAAAGAGAGCCACCATGCCATCCGTTGTGACAGGTGTGGGCTCTTCATCGCTGTTAGCGGCGATGCATGATCAGTAAACAGGATGAACGTGCGTTCGCCCAGTAGGATAACACAAAACTTGATGAGTGCATAGCGCATAGATAATTGCCTCTTATCGTGGACTGAAAATTTCTTCTATGCCGGCTTCATCTGTCGTGACTGGTAGCTCACGACTCGTTCACGGCCTTCATGATCAAACTGCATGAGGGCGCAACCAATTGCAAAGTCACTTGCATCACACACCACGTGAAACGGCTTGGTGTCGTCAGGGAGTATCAACACTGCGCAGACGCCAGGCTTTTTTCACTGCGTCAAAGCAGCTTGATGTTCGGGACGCCACTACCACGTGGCGTCTATCTTCAGAAGTGACGACAGAGGCTGTATCGAACCGGCGTAATCCTTTGCGTACTTATGCAAGTAATTAGCTAGATCGAGCCATTGACGCAACTCCGAAGGATTCTTGGGTGTGGGCCAAGAACAGATTAAAGACACCTTCTCTGGATCGGCTCAAACTCTCTTTTTACTCACGTAGCAGCCCAGCACCTAAATCTCCGGTGCACAGAATACACACTTCTTCAAGTTTGCATATAACTTGTTATCTCGCATGACTTGAAGCACCTGCTTCAGGTGTTGAAGGTGAAGTTAAGCAGCAGTGAGGTTTCCCTCAGCGCGACTGTGGACAAAAATGTCATCTAAGTAGCTAGGAGCAAAGTCTCGAAGTGGTCTCAAACACTTGAGATACCATGCGATTGAAAGTGGCTGGTGCGTTCTTCAATCCTTGTGGCATCACCAGCCACTCCCATAGAATACCACTCTGGGCGCTCACCGCAGTGAGTGGTATGTCACTCTGTCGCATCAAGGTCTGGTAGAAGCCATCGGTCAGATCGATGGCGCTGAAGATGAAGCTACCTGACATGGAGTTTAAAACCATGTCTTTGCTGGGGATGGGCGTTTGGGTAGGAATAGTGGCATCGTTTAGCTTGTTAAACGCATGAACTTTACGCCATCCTCCCGTAGCCTTCTTCAAGCAGAAGGTTGGACTCGAATGGGGTGAGACACTCTCACGCACATGACCGGCCTTGTGACGACCTTCAAAGAATGCATCAATAGCCTCGACTTGGTCTCGAGGTAACGGCCACTGGTGTGTCACACACTATTTCGATCCTGGCACTAGATTAATCTCATGCCGCACGCCACAATCGGCAGGGAGTTCAGTTGAAATCTTCGTCGGCCTACTCTCGAGCAATGTCGTAGGCTGGGCTACCAGACTCGCGCAGAGTCTCTAAAGATTTTGACGCAGGTCTTTCTTCGCGCGCTGACTTTTATTCAGCGCTTCGAGGGCGCGTCATTCGCTCCTCATTCGGCTCATAGGTCACCTCGTTGGTGACCGGGTATACTTGTTCCACCGTGCCTCCCTTGAGGTCGCGCAGAAAATGCTTCCAGAAGAGTCCTGGGAGGCTCGTAATCGACGACGCGTCGCGAAGTGGACTCGCGACCTCAACGTTTTGGCGCCTTTGTGGACTTTCGTCCATGTACACAATAGCGTGGACACATTCCAACGCTGATTTCTCGTAGATTGCGTCCCCATCGTGCTTCGAGTCCATGCTCGAAGCTGAAAAACCGCAGTCAGGTGTTAAATCTGCATCCCCCCCCCCTCCAGACGCTGGATGTCCTCATCCAGGACGTCGAAACCGCGCGACGGGAGAAGTCCATACTCGTCCTTCGACGCATAATGCGGGAGCCTCTGCCCGAACGCCACAAACTCGTGTGGGAGCCCCTGCTCGACCACGTCTTGCTCATGTGGGAACCTCTGTTCGGCCACAGTGGGCGATGATGGGAACCTATGTTCTACCATCATGTTCGCAAGTGGGGAATCTTGTCCAGTCACATCACACTCGGTGGCGAGCCCCTGCTCGGCCACATATTGCCCTTGCGGGAGCCTCTTCTCGACCACAATGGGTGCAGGTGGGAACAACTTTTCGTGTTTGACCACTTCTCTCGCTTGCGGGAACCTCTGTTCGACCGCTTCGTCTTCGCGCGGGAGCCACTGCTCGTCCGCGTCGTCAATACGAGGGAGAAACTACTTGTCCACGTCGGACCTCTCGCTGAAAAGCGAGGATACATCGTCACTCGTGCGTAGTGGCACGGAACAAGCGGTACAGAGAGGGCCATCGCTCACTCCGTGTACCGCCGGTGTCGTGGATGTACGATCCACGACTGTAACGTTCGGCCAATCTCTTGGAGACACCAAGGGATGGGTGAACACTTCGCTGGTGTCAAACTTGCTTCGACGTCTCACTGATCTGGCTAACTAGTCGATCTGGGGCTTATAGCGTGCCAACATGGCATTTCCAGGATGCGATCGAATGCATAATTCATCTCTATCACCAAGAAATTGTCGTTACTGCGAAAGCTGTCAAACGTGTGCGGCAACGACACTTCGCGCCGCGATGCGCGGCATGGTTCCCGTCAGCGAGCTTGACAACAACTTGGCCAGGTCCCTCGTGGACCTGGATGCTGGTTAACAGCTTTGACACGCAAGATTCACGAAATAGATTGTTTGTCGCTCTGAATCCAGGAGCGCTCGTAGAGGTCACCGGATACCGGCGACATATATCTTAACAATAATCAGTCGTGAATCACTGCTCAGAATGGTGTCATTTGACCGTGCACGCAGCCCATCTGTGCTGCGTGCACGGAAGTCGGGCTGCCACCGGTAGACCCGGAACTCCCTTTAAACCAGTAGGGCGCCCTGCACCTACTGGTTTCGTCCGTTTTTTGGACGAGTTAGCGGAGCACCTCTCTCATGATGGGTGTCCGTCGTATGCACCGGCATCGGTGCTGGCGCGCGGCATTCATCCGCGCGATATCCCGACTTTCAACATCGTAAGCAGATCATCTGAAGTCCGCTACGGACGTCGCCCTTGTAGGACGGAACATGTCGATGGTCACCCAAAGACTCAATCGCATCAATCTCCATCGTTATGGCCCCGCTGATCTGACAGCGGTAACAAGTGAAGGATTGGTATAGGTCTTGGTGACTCTTAAGGCCTCACGGATGGCGATAGCGATAGCCTCGTCCAACGTGGCAGGCTCCGCGCGTTCCAGCGATAGGCGAGTCTGCCCTTCACGCATGCCATCGACAAACACGTTCACTTGTGTGTACATGTCCATGGGATGCGTAATAATGCACGACGCTAGATGTCGAGCCATCTGCACATAGTCGCGCATGGACATCTTACCCTGTCGCAAGGACAGGAACCTTGAACGCACCAACTTCGCTTCCTGTGGCGGCTCGAAGGCAAGTCGAAGGTCACTCTGGATGGCTTCCAGAGTGGGAAACGCATACTCTTCCACAGCGAGTTTTCCCAAGGCCCACTCCTTGGATTTCCCAGTGAAACGGGAAAGGAGGAAGTTGACCTTCGTTTGAGGAGCATCGAGAAGTCTTTAAGCGATAGCGATGTCAACCTCTCGAAACCAACGCGACAACGACAAGCGTTCTTTTCCTTCGCCAGAGTAGACGGAGGTCTCCATCTTCACGGCATCGTTCCGTGAAGTCCGCGAGGTAGTTTTACCTCGCCAATTTGATTCGGCGAGCTCGCGGGCCATGTAGTCGTGTATGGCGAGACGCTGTCCATCAGGAGTCGCTGATTTCATCAGCGACACAACGAATGCCTCTCCAGATATCGCTGCGAGGCGATTTAAGGCATCCCACCCAACACCAGTGAGATGGGGGAAAGTCGCGTGCTCCAGACTCACGTCTGAAGCGTCAAAGTACGACGAATTGCTTATCCCAAACTCGGGCATGGGAAGGACTACTAAGTGCTACCAGGTGTAACGGGGCTAGAACAACCCGTACTTAGCTTACACTATTCTACGCTTTGAGGAAGTCTCAAAGCCCAAGTCGCATGTATTGAGTACTTTTGACTCTGTTTTGTATCTTGTCTTTTAATCATCCTAAGTATGAATGGTTCCCTTGGACTCATGGGAACCACTCAATCTACGTGCCTGTATCTTACTGGCTAATAATGGTACTGAGCCCATTGAACCAGCTGAATTATACGACGTGCCACTTTGGCTACTTCGAAATTAATACCCCTACTTAACTAACATGCAAACTTAATCGAAACTACTTATGTAACGGGGTGGCCCATTACATCTCCCATCCGTCCGGTCGTCTCCTAGTGGTCATACATTTCGCCTGGTCCGATCACCAGCCAAACATGTTAGACCGTCACAGAGTGTATCCCTTAATCCTTCAATCTGCCATATAAGATAGTTTCTGATAGTTTTTATATGGAAGACAACGAAGTCGCGTTAAGAGAATTAAATTTCATTACGCTTTTATCCAACACTTGTGCCTGGCTACTGTATATCGTTCATTACTGGCTGGGTTCGTCGAATGGTGGCGGAGTATAGTGAAAGCAAGATGAAGCAGATGAATAACGATTTTCTATAGTAAAGGGCAAACAACTCCAGGACCCGGAAACCCCTGGCGAAGCTTAAACTCCGAAAGAACTGAGCCTTGGTATGACTATACAAACAGCAAGTAGGCCAGACGCTATGAGACCAAAATTATTGACTTTAAGTTCACCGGAGGAGGCTTAGCGTAATGGTTAGCGGCCTTCTATATAATGATTCCAGGGCGGATACAAGTCCCGTAGGGTGTGCAAAAAATGACTTGAGTTCCCTATGCGTTCTGAATTGGGAGCTGGCGGTAAACACGCCGGTGCTGTAGTGAGGTAGTAGTCACTTTACCCTTGTAAGAAAACGGACGTCGTCCCCCAAGCCTAGCTTGGAGTCCAAACTAAAAAAAAACCTTAGGAGGTGGCTGGTAGTAGTACTGTAACGGTAATAGTCCGAGGCGTTAAGGATCCGTAATAAAGGCAGGACCCCGATCCTTCCAAAATGGCTACGTAACAAGTGACTCAAATCGGAGCAATCCGTGACCTTAAACATGCGCAAGATTAGCCCAGTAAGCGCAACAGTGAAATCATTCAAAGCACCATCAAAACAAGGCGAAGCTAAACGCCAAAGATCGACGCCGAAATACAAGTTAAAGGCCTAATGCCCAATGCCATGGCATAAGGAAATTTGACCTGTACCAAAACCAAAGAGTGATGACCCACGTCGTAAAAGATGGAGAGATGGTAACCGTAAACTTATCCAGTAACGTAATTCAGGAAGCCGAAACTGCGGGGGTACAAAATAAGTGTCCGGGGATCGGATACGCAACTGCAGGTCTTGAAGCAAATTAGTAAGCTGTCTTAGCGTGAATTGGAATGGACTAAGCTGTGGGTAACCAAGTGTTGGCAAAACCACTCAGTATGAAGAGTGACCACCGCGTGAACTTGAGCTTGGACTTTGATCAGATCGGCAGGAACATCATGAAATCGAATATCATTGCGGTGCATCCATAGACAGCGTAATACACTTGTCCGGGCGATGTGTAAAACCACGAAAACACTATAGCCATAGTGCTCCTTCGCAACTTGAGTCGGCGTGACATCAAACAAGAGTACCGAACCCCATTTTATTGGAGAGTCGAAAAGTGTTTGAAACCGCTTGATTCAAACATCCTAGACTCGTTCCGCAAAGATGCAAAACCAGAATAGGTGAGGAGGCGTTTTTAGTGCTTGAAACCCGTGATGACAGGACGAAGTGGCACTCGAAAGATGCTGAAGTTTGTATTTAAGAAAGAGCGCGTAATGCTGAAGTCGGTAGAGCAGGTCAGCGTATACCGGAAGTAAGTGCTTGTCCATGTTGAGGTCTTGACACCACATAGATGGCGGCGGGCCGGTATCTAGGCCTAGCCGAGATTACGGCAGGGTCGAGGTGGTATGATTACCCAGTATGCACCGTATACGAGCCACGCTAAGTTGATCCAAAGGGTAACCGTCCAAGACTTAGTCGTGGTAGGCGCTAAAAATTGGGGCTTGCGAACCGGTCCGGTAAGGAACACCATTAAGGGTCCCAGCAAACTGTGAACGCGCGCCAAAAAGTTCGAGCAAACCCCGTTTAGTAGATCTACGACCTGGGTCGATCGACTGAAGAAACAGCAAAAAGGAAGAACCAGAAACCGGAGAGCGACAAGCCTGAAACATATCAGCTGGGGGGTGGAGACCAAGCGTAGCCAAAAGATTAGTCAATTGCGTAGGGAAGGGACTGACCAGCCATTGAACGCCCAGTCGAAGGATAGGTAATATCCATATTGTGGAGAATTGGCGTCGTAAGTTGTCGAACTTGGAGTTGAAGCGGACGATCTTTCGGCGGAGGCGGGTATTTAAAACGAAAAGAACCGATTGTTAATAGGCGCCGAGATCCGCCCATAGTCGTGTGCAAAAAGAGATAGCGTGATCTGGACTTGTCGTAACCGGCGCCTACAGGAGATCGAAATCTTGTTCCCATGGATGTATAGCGTTATCGAAAAGGCGTGTCACCGGTAGAGCCCAAAGAGGAACACCATAACTGGAGTTATTCCAAGCGGCCAAAACAACCTTGCACAGCATATGAGCCTAAAGACTGTGGACCGTGTCACAGATCCGATGAAGCCCCAACCCCCCTTGACCGGAAGGCAGAAACCACCAATCCTTGGACAAAGCGATGTTGGACTTGGACTTGCATAGGAAGCGCGATAGGAGCGCTTTAATCTGATTGTGGAACTCGGTCGCAGGATCATAACAGACGCTGGCCGAAAACCACAGTATTGGCAAAATTATGTGTTACAGGATTACCACGTGACCGCGAAGAGTGTGTGCCCGATTAGCCCAAAGGGTACACCGCTCTTGCAGCCGCGCCAGTAAGTGGTGCAGCCGGTCTGCATTAGATAAACAGGGACCGTAAGGTATCCCAAGCAGTTTAGTGCGTCCGGAATTACCGACGACGTCAACACCCAAGTGTTCAAGGTAGAGGCGTATAGGCTCTGACGAAGCCGACCAGGGCCGAAGTGGCAGCACCACAGTCTGAGCTTTATTAAGTCGCATGCCCAACGCCGAACAAAAGACATCTACGAGATCGAGAAATTCCTGTGTGGGGCGGAGGTCGTGAAGAAGACCCGTGCGGTCATCATCAAAACTTATGACTGAGTGGGTCGAATCACCACAACGGAGACCTCTATCCTGAAACTTGACGCGTAGTAAATTGAGCAAAGGCTCAATAAACAGCACGAAAAGCGCAGGCGATAGAGGATCACCCTGACGATCACCCGCCCCTAATTCAAAAGGGGCCAGTGGACACCCATTAAACATCAGGGTGACGATTGTACCCGAATAGAGTACTTTGATCTAGCGTCCAAAACTGTGTCCAAATTCAAATTGCATAAGCACCATATCCAAGGCACCCCAAACCACGCAATCGAAAGGCCTTAGCGAAATCCAGTAAAACTGCATCAGCCGGAGAGTCATCACCATGATAGAGTTAATCCAACGCCTTAAAGCGAAGATGGGCATGACAAATATTCCTGTCCGGAACAAACCTTTATAGATCCGAGTGAAGAAGGGAAGGGATACAGCGAGTTGGACGGTGCGCCAAATCTTGGGCCATAATTTCGCATCACATTAAGTAGGTAATCGGGCGATAATTAGTTGAAGCGGAACGATCTTCGTGCTTATAAATCAGCGAAATTTGCGCTCGGTGTTAAATATTGGTCATTTTCCCCTTATAAATTGAGCCGCATGAATCACCTCATAAAATAAGGCTCCATAAGGGGGGAATCAACTTGATAGTAGGCCGGTGGTAAACCATCCGGACCCGGCGTCTTTCCGGACGCCATGTGCTTAATTACCCCGTGAAGTCATTAGCAGTGAACGGGCTGTCCAAGTAAGCCCGATAGGCGGGAGTCAATCTTGACTTCGTATGGTCCAAAAGTCGCGAAAGCGCAAAACGATTCCAGGAAGGTTCTCTAAGCTCAAATTCCCATGAAGGCTAGCAGAAAACACCGGACGAATACATGCTGAACGTGTCACATGTCATCTTTAACTCTTTAGACAAACTCACAGGAATGGGGTTCTTGTGGAGTTATTAAAGTGGCCAAAAGAAAAATCGGAGTAACGCTCAGTGGCTTGAAATTCAGAGGCGAATTTTTTCTTGGACGATAAGTGCGCAGACTCTTCCAGTTTATCGTTTAAGGCGGCTTTAGCGTCAGCAAAAGCGGACGTTAAGTCCATCGAGTAATTATAAAACTTGGATGTGCTGTGACCGATTTAAGTTAAAATGAAGATCCTCGATAGCGCGTTGACTGGTATTCTTTATGGAGATAAATTATTCGGGCAAAAAAAGAGTCCAGCCGTTTATGTTCGTCGAGCAGGTAGCCGGGGTTGTAACGCCATCGACCAGGGTAGAACGACGCAGCCAGTCGTGCGAGCGAGTCCCGAAGAAAATCTTGAGCCTCGGGTAGTTAAATGACCCACTCTGGACACTTCCAGCGGGTCTGACTGGGTGGTCGAAAGGTTTTGGAACCAGCTCGAAAGGATAAACCGATATGGTCAACTATCCCAGACTGGGCCCGAAAATCATGGTAAATGTCTTGAAAACAGAGTGAAAAAGCCGATTGTCCACAAAAACGTAGTCGATCCGGGAAGAAGCGGTTGGACTCGTGAACTCACGAAGATCCGGATGTTGAAGACGCCAAGTATCGACTTAGGTGAGGGCCGACTCCCAGTTCAGTAATTTGTCACGGCCTCGACAACGCGCACGATTTTCAGAGCGAGCTTGGTCGAGAAGGCTTGAGAACTGAAATGAAGTCCCCCAGAACGATATGATGGGCGTCGTCCTCGAAATGACGGGGGGAAAGGTCGAAAAAACTTCGA